CCAAAAGAAGCACATTCATACAACAAGGACATCTGTTCAACCATGTCCATAGCAGCATTATTTGTAATAGCCAGAAACTGGAAGCAGCCTAGATGCCCCTCAACCGAAGAATGGATACAGAAAATGTGGTACATTTACACAATGGAGTACTACTCAGCAGAAAAAAACAATGGAATCTTGAAATTTGCAAGAAAATGGATGCAACTAGAAGAAACCATTCTGAGCAAGGTAACCCAATCACAAAAAGACAAACATGGTATGTACTCACTCATATGTGGATTATAGACATAGAGTAAAGGATTACCAGCCTACAATCCACACTGCCAGAGAAACTAGTAAACAAGGAGGACCCTAAAAGAGACAAACATTGTCCCCTGGAGAAGGAGGGGAAAGGGTCAAGATCTCCTGAACAAAATGGGAACATAGAGGAATACTCCCTGAGCCAAGACACACAGGGGTGGGCCTAGGCCCTATCCCAAAGGACATGATAGACTCTGATAACACTATATGGAAGGCCTCATCCTCCAGGGGAACACAAAGTGTATATGATAGGTAGGGTTTTAGTGGGGGGATTGTAGGGGAGGAGGGGAGGGAGAGGGAACTGGAATTGACATGTAAAACATTCTTGTTTCTAATTCAAAAAAAAAAAAAAGAAAAGAAAAAAGCCACCCAAAGATGGGAAACACTTAGAGAGTCTGGATCTTATTGCAATTTGTTTAAATTTTTTGGCTGCTAAGAAACACTGGATTATGAAAGCTAACAAATTAAACCAACCTATATATTTTAGAAACATCCTGACTGCAAAACTTAAGTCAAGATGTATATTTCTTTGGGGGAGAGGTTATGCTTTTAATTCCACAGAAGATGAGAGGCAGTGTATTCATTCCAGGTTAAAGAAAACCAGGTTTGTTTGGGGGGAAGACCCCTTTAATCCAAGCTACAAACATAAAAAGAAACCTACAAATCTAAAAAAAAATAGGCAATGTGTTTTTCATTTAATCAAATATTAAACAAAATATCATCTTTAACTGACTTGTGCACACCACATATTCCATACTTGTAACAGATATTACCTTTAAAAGTTGATATATTTTCAGAACAAGGAAACCAAATACCAATTATAACAGATGGCCCAGATGATCAATATCTCAGGATGCCTCTGTTGCAGTTTGTGAGTTCTATATCCAAAACAGCTTCAAGGCTGCTGGCTAAGAGGATCAAGCCTCATGAAATACTACAGTGAAAACATAATAATTATCCTGCTTTTCTCAAGCTTTCCTCAAAGATGTCAGTGCAGCCAAATAACAGGAAGTAGTCTAGAGAATGGTTCCCACTTTCCAAAAATAAAGTTTATGGATGTTCATTATCATTTAAGGGAGGTTGTTTATAAGTTGTTATCAGTAATGATCAGGAAAGAGTTAAACAAAGGAGATTAAATCCAGGGATATCTTTCTAAAGGAAAAAAAGAGGTGATATGATTATAAAAATGATGAGATAAAAGGGTAGATTGTTGAACCTACTTTAATCCAAAGAAACTATTAACATTGGTGTGGGTTTTTGTATATTGATTTCTACTTTTAATATATTTTTGCAGTTTGCATATTGATACAAGTTTAAGGTTATTTTCCTCATACTGTACATCTGCTTCTACTTTTCCTTAAGATATTACATTACCTATACAGCTCAGACCTATGCAATGTGAAATTTTAGTCCTTAAAAGCTGTTTAGGTCAATAAAGAAATATAGGCTAATTATCACCAAAAACTATCAAACTTAGAGACAGTTAGGTTTTCAGGGTTGTACAGAGATATATTTCAGATAGGTAATCTTCAAAGGTCAAAGACCTATTGAATATGGCATTTAAAATGTTTTAATAACTTAGACATTTCTTAACATGAGACAAATCTGCTCCTGGCAGCACTGATCTAATTCAGAAGAGGATGATGGACATCGAAGAAACTCCATATGGAGTTTTTTCTTTGTGGCAAAACTAGCTATTTGCACAAGAAGCTGCCCTTGCCTCAACTTCTGACAGTGTGCTGTCCAAACTGAACAAGCAGGACACAAAAAGGTGACTGTTGAACTTTGTTGAGACAGGGAAGGACAATCCTTAAAAATTTCCTGATTTTAAAAAAAAGTCTGTCAGATCCACAGCTAAGCACTGAGCTGAACTCCTAGAATCCAGTTGCAGAGAGGGGTGGGGGGGTTATGAGCAAAGGGGTCAAGACCATGGTGGGGAAACCCACAGAAACAGCTGATCTGAGCAAGTGAGAGCTCATGGACCCCAGTTAGACAGCTGGGGAACCAGCATAGGACAGAACCAGGCCCCCTTAATGTGGGTGCCAGTTAGGAGGCCAGGGCAAT